TGATGCCATGGGTCCTAATATCTGGGTTTCAAAATCTGCCTGTGAGCTTTGGTTCACGCACCACAATCCTTGGGATTCTAGATGCCATTCAGCCCAGACTGCCTTTCCCTATTCCTTGTTTTATGATAGCACCTGCTTCTAGACTCTCACATTTTATCTGCTGTGCTGCTATTTTCAGACTCCTCTGCTGGTGGCCGTCACTGCCAAGCAGCCAGCTATTGTCTATGATTTGATCCAGACAGGAGCAGATGTCAATGCTGTAGACAACAAAGGGCAGTCGGCTTTACATCTTGCTGCAACGTATGGGTATACTGAAGTTCTTCAGGTAGGGAAAACTTTTATGGTTTTAATTGCTAGCAATATAAACCTACCATAAAGTTTCAATATTGGTGTCTTTAAATAGCTGTCTCAGAAGGCAAGATGTCAGTAAGCAATGAAGACTGACCAAAGTCTCCTTTTCCATTGTGTTAGGAATCAGCTTCCCAGATTATCCGTGTTTTAGGATTATGCTTGCAGCAAACAACAGCCTCCTGTTTCTGAGGAAATGGCTTTAGTGTATCTATCAGGGAAAATAAATTCTTTCTGGAGATCATAGCTTTAAATCTGTTGATGGCAGGCCAGGTAGAGTGGGCTCACTCTGGCTTGAGCCCCCAGTGTTGTACCAGTTCCTGTGCTGAAGGGGGTTCCCCAGAGGCTGCAGGCAGCTGTGGGGTGTGAGGAGAGGGAGCAATAATAACAGTGTGACACCCCTTCCCTGATGTCAGTGTCACACAGATGGGAGTAACAAATTATATCCAGACTCAAGCCAGCTGAAGAGAGAGCAGATGTGGCCCTGCAGACAGAGCCAGCACAAGCATGGCCTTCAAAATGAGACATATTTTTCAGACTTCATACAAAACCAAGATCCATCGAGGAGATTTTCCAGGGTGTGAGAGAAACTAGGTGCTCCTGTATGGCCAGAATCTACTAGAGCTTCCATGCCTTATACGACCACATCTTCACTTCCCTATTGCTTCACAGATCTTCCTGTAAATAGGGTCTATATCTAAGTTGTGTGCGAGCCAGACTCTAGCAGCCCCGAAGAGCAAATTAGCACATTAGAAAAGGCACTGTGGGAATTTTTGGTATGGATTACATAGAGATAAGCACACGGGAACATGTCTCTTAAATGCTTAGCTATTGGCCATAAAATGGAATTAATAAGACACACCCGCCGTGATTCGTGTCAGGACTGAATATAGGCAGCTTCAATGCAGAGTTTCATTGCAGCAGCATGGCTGCTGATGAGTTAACCTGAGGGTAGGGCACAGGATCCTCTGAGGATGAGGCGTGTGTTAGTGGAAGTGCCAGGGGGTACCTGGCATGCTGGCAGTCTGTCTCCAGGATTCATTAGCTCTGCCTTGCACACGCCCTGGATTAAGTCATGAGCAGGCAGTTAATGTGTAACATTGCGAGTTCTTTGGAAAACAGGTGTTTCATTCAGTGAGGCAAAGTGTTTTACATCCAGATGGTTCCAACAAAGCCTCCCAGAGTGCCTTGGTTTTGGCTTTTGGTTTGGTTTGTTTTTTTCCCTTGACATAAAAAGGGAAAATGTACACAGGTTTACTTCTTAGTGTGGTCAAAGCCATGAACTGCTTTACAGTTTGTTTGTTTGTTGTTTTTTTTTTATTTTAATTATTTTTTCTAATGGATTAAACACCTAATCGCTAATCATCAGGCAGCTCAGAGCTACTTGTCAATATTTGATCTGTATGTATTATCGTTATGAAAAGATCACAAGCCCTAACTGTTTCAGATAAGCTTTCAGCAGAAGGATTTTGTCCCACGCCTTGTCCAACTTGACAAGGTTCTGAATAAGTCACTGCACTGCAAAAATTCTCAGCTAAGATGCTGTAATGTGAACAACTTGCTTTATTCAAAATGCATTATCTGTAATACTATAAACAGGGAGCTACATGGCTGCATCACATCAAATCTATAATTTTCTGAAGTTAAAGAGTTTAAAATTTTTTACTGTCTGCTAAATCCAAGCAATGCTTATCTCCAGACCGCTATTTCTTGCCGTTTATAGGCTCTGCATCCTCATTGCTGCTGCCATTGCAACAAGGTGTGGTTTTAACTTGTCACACTGCTGCACATCTGCTGCACATTAAAAAGAAACAGTAAATAAATCCAGTCTGAGAATTTCCAGTGTCAGCAAACTTTTAGGTAACAAAGTTTGGCTGTACATGTTAAGGAGAGATTTTCATTTATCCTTGCTAAGAATAACTCAGAATAAATATGAATTGGTGTTACTGGTGCTTTTGTTTAATCCATGGTGAAAGCAAGGAGGCTAGCACTCTTGAGCTAGGGGTAGTGACTTAATTTTATGGTTCTGAACTGAGAATATAATGGGATACTGTACTTAGGCGGGGTTTAGGAAACTAGGGAACATGATCATCCTGTGTAACCCTGAATGTCCCTGCTAGGAAGTAGATTCACAACACTGAAATTTAGTGTCAAATAAGGGCTTAGTCTGTAGCTAAATAATAATAATCTGATTGTTTGTTTTTAAATTTTGTTAGTCTTGACTGATTTTTGGCTTGAACAGTATTCTGCTGAACTAAATTTTCCAATTCTCTATTGCTTCTAGGTTATACTGTCACTAGGTTTCCCTCTTGATTTAGAAATGAAGGATTTTGAAGGTAAAACCCATTCTACAAATATTTTGTAATGCTATTAAAAAAAATGAAAAACTATATTGGCTATTTCATTGACTGAAGCTCATTGGTGTTTGGAGGTGTGCTAGGAGGCCAGAATGCCCTCAGAAAGTGCCTGGGGGAGGGTTGTTGCTGTTCACCCAAATGCCACTTAATTTAACAGGTGCTCATGCTTCAGTGGTGATTCAATGCACACTGGGAACTGAGCACATGCTGGAGTGCCCCATAAATGTCTATACAACCAAGATGGTACCTTTGAAAGCAGAGAAGGGCTTGTGCCTTAACACATGTGCAGAGATGCATACGCTCTCCCTGCCAGCCCTCTCTTCCTCTCTGTACATCGATATCATTGTTGGGATTGTCATGGTCCTCCCATACTTGGTTTTCCAGGCCATACCCCACTCCACTGTGCTGTTGTGGCCCACAACGCCCTGCTCCGGGAGCAGGGTTGCCAGACATTGACGGAGGAGCAGCAGAGAGATCTTCAGCACCAGAGCAAAGAGCTGGAGTCCTGTATCCACCTCCTGGTGCAGACAGGAGCCTCCATCTACAGCCGGGTAAGGGATCGGCTCAGTTATCCATATGCTGTTTGTTTGTATGGGAACTCTCTCTTGCCCTGCCTGATGCTTCTGCAATGCTGAAACTATGGAATTGGAGAAGGAATGAAATGCTAACGGAAGGACCAAGCCTGTTCCCCTTTCAAGTGACTGGTTGCAGAGTAAGTTGCTGCCTGTTGGAGTTACCTTCTCGTAGCCTGAAGCAAGCCCTGGACAGTAAGAGGGCCACTTAAGAAGGGAAGGCTGTGCTCCACATCAGCTGCAGAGCTGGCCTGGACTTTTTTCCAATGGTTTTATATAATATCTTCAGGTTGGCCTGCAGAATGTTTCTTATTTTATTTGTTTTTTCCATTTTTAAATAGGATGTGAAAAGCAACAAGACAGTTCTTCATTATACAGTCCAGGATGGGAACATCTCCCTGCTCAGATACTTCTTGGAGCTGAATGCTTTCAAGTCCAAGGACTTTGTCAACAATAAGGTGAGTCAGGCCATGTGTGGACAGGATTGGTGCGCACAGCTACAGGCAGAGATGCTGAGAGCAGTGTGAGAGCTGCTCTGTGGTGGGAGGTTGCATGCAAACAGAGGCATTAGGAGATCTGTGGGGTCCTGCAGAAACCAGTTAGCCTCTTCCCACACACGTCTTTTTCGGG